GTTGAAAGGATAGTCAACTGGTAACCGATCATTTCATTAATAGAGGTTCCGATAATCGAGGTTCCACTGTACCGGCGAAATACACATTCAATTGCATCTTTACTTATATCAGAATAAATCTAATGTAGCTAGCACCATCTTCAATTATTATTATCCCACCTTTTGAATAAAGTGTATATCACTCGCGGGATCTTCCGATCTATAATATATCTCAAGAATTACCAATAATTACTAATCTTTAATTGTTTGTAACTCATAACAGTGTATTAACCGATTTCGATGAGATTTTCGGCATGCATATAAGTTACCAAGATCTGCAAAATGAATTTTTTAAATTTTCGGATAAAAAAAGTTGAAAAACGAGCTTTTTTTATTTTTTTTTTATTTTTTTTTTTTTGTCATTCGAAGTAATAGCAAAATTGAAGAAAGCCATTATCTAGTAGACTAGTCCTTCTATCATCTGACAAAAATTCAAATCACTTAATTCAGTTTCAAAAAAAATTATACATATATTTGTCCCCGACTGTACATAGATAACATGTATTACGAATAGCTCTTGACAATAGTACACGCAATTTTATCATCTGAAATTGTTTAAATAATTTTATTATTTCTCCTTGATATACATATACAATTCTTGAAATCTCGACTTACAATCGTTTGAGCACAATTCATAATGCAACAGGTGTATGTCACGTGTGTTATGTTACGCATGTGTATTTTTCAATAAATCGTAGTACGCATATTTCTCTCTCTGCATACTAATCTGTACCTCCTTTATTCATACCAATGAAACTTGAATGGGATAGTACGTATACATAGCGTTGTCTCTGTTCAATGCACTGGAAATAAATCCAGAAAAGGACGGTTGTGTTTCCTATCTCATGCTCTCTTCTTTAGCGACACGAGTCTCGTGACGAAGATTCTATTTCAGTTATACTAATACTTTTAGTTCAATATTCGTCATCGAATAAAATAGACATGTCGAGATTTTCGTTATTACGATATTATTACAATACCTAATTTAATCTAAAAGAAAAAACAGAACCGGATTCGGTAATTAAAAAAGGGATGTGAGAAAATAAGTTTAGACTCTTAGGTTCTGGATCTAAAATGCAAGACACTTGCATGTGAATATACGCAGAAGTTTACTCTTCGAGCTTCTGCTACAAATAATAATACTTCAACAGAAATGCAGAGATAGCGTACCGTGCGATGTAGCGCGCTGAATTCACTGTATCGTCTCTCGACAAAATATCGGGCACCACTTTTCGTCTCCAATATTTCGATACAATAAACATAATAGGGCTTTCCGTGCGAGGCTTCAGCCAAACGGTATCCGCTGATGAAAACTTGGTACATTGCATCGCTATCTATTTTCTAAAGTCTTGAAACACGCGCGATAAACTGCTACCTCTACGTCAAAATGAAACTACACGAAAAACACAACGCGTTGATCGCTGAGATCACTCTACTCTCAATCTTTACTGGCAGTACCTGACAGTACTGACACCTGTCAACCATGGACCATAAGGACAGTGTCTAATAGGCCTACCTACGCTGAGTTTTCTGGCGAGGGGTGTCATCTTACAACATATCCTTTTACTATCTCACCATCTGCCATCTCGATGTGCTAAACTAGTGCTGCTATCTGCGTCTTAATTGGGAAACTACACTTGAAATTTGGATTGATGTACATTAACGGGCCCTATTTCTGCATAGCTTCAGACCACAGCTTGATCCGTTAGCGAGGGTCATTATAGAAATTTTCTTTACGCTAATTGGCTGACGATTCACTGCTGAGACAGGATCTACTGCGGATTGGGTGAGCAAGAAGAAAAAGAAAAATACGAGTGAGGAATTGGAGACGTTGAAAAGCGGCGTTTTTAATTTTTGATTACTATTATTATCACGGTATAGTGATAATTTTTAGAAGCATGTATATACGTTCTATCCATTATACATAGATCTGTGCTGAAAACTGTGCTAAAAAATTTTGGAGTTTCGCTTCTCATATTCTATACATTACAGACACGATCTGTATATCAACGCACTTCAGATGACAACATTAGAAAGTTTGCTGTGTACACTAACCTATACGGAATGTGACTTTAATTTATAACATTTAGCAACAGTATAATTCACAATGTATTCGATATGTAAAAGCAATCATCCTGCTACGGGAGTAGAACATGCAATAACATGTTATTTTTTCAATCGTTTGGAAAAATGTCTTGTAGTAGCAGGTGCGAATATCATTCGAGTATTTCGCTTAATACCAGACGTTGATATAACTAAAAGGGAAAAATACACAGGTACATTCACTTATTTTTTTTACTTATAATATGTAAAGTAAAAATATTTTTCATGTTTATTATTAAAAAATTATTAAAAAATAATGTTGTTAATCATAAAATTAATGTTTTTTTTAGAATCTCGTCCTCCAAAAATGAAATTAGAATGTTTAGCACAATATACATTACATGGAAATGTAATGTCAATGCAAGCTGTTGCTCTTGTTGGATCTCAAAGGGATTCTCTTTTATTAAGTTTTCGTGATGCAAAATTATCTGTTGTAGAATATGATCAAGATATACACGATTTGAGAACAGTATCTTTACATTATTTTGAAGAAGAAGAAATACGAGTAATTGTGTTTAAAATTTATACATTTTGAAATACTTGAAATATTTCCTTGAGAAACAGTTCTATCTATTTTTTCAGGATGGTTGGACGAATCATCATCATATACCCATTGTTAGAGTAGATCCTGAAGGAAGATGTGCTGTAATGTTAATATATGGTAGAAAATTGGTTGTATTACCTTTTAAAAAAGATCCAAGTCTCGATGATGGAGATTTATTGGATAATACAAAAGCCTTATCTAATAAAACTCCTATACTATCATCATACATGATAGTATTAAAAAGTCTAGAGGAAAAAATGGACAACATAATAGATTTACAATTTTTACATGGTTATTACGAACCTACATTATTAATATTGTATGAACCAGTAAGGACATTCTCAGGGTAAGCTTTAATGTTCTTATTTGAAAACTTGAAAAAGTAATACAATAATAATATAATTCAATTGTAGGCGTATTGCAGTAAGACAAGATACTTGTGCTATGGTTGCAATATCATTAAATATTCAACAAAGAGTACATCCCATAATATGGTCTGTATCAAATTTACCATTTGATTGTTATCAAGCAGTGCCGGTAAAAAAACCACTCGGTGGAACATTGATCATGGCTGTCAATTCCCTCATTTATTTAAATCAGAGTATACCACCTTATGGAGTATCTTTGAACAGTCTAGCAGAAACTAGTACAAATTTTCCATTAAGTTAGTATTAATTCCATATTCTATCTAGCTATAGTTCATATATATTTTACCATGTATTTATATTTTTATTTATAGAACCACAAGAGGGGGTAAAAATAAGCTTAGAAGGTTCTCAAGTTGCATTTATTTCTTCAGATCGATTAGTAATTTCATTGAAAAGTGGAGAATTATATGTATTGTCTTTATTTGCTGATAGTATGCGTTCTGTAAGAGGTTTTCATTTTGACAAAGCTGCAGCAAGTGTTTTAACTTCATGTGTGAGTATATTGAAAACTAAGATGAATGTAGTTTATGTTTATAGGATGTATAAGTATAATTATTTAATTTGTAGGTGTGCATGTGTGAAGATAATTATCTATTTCTGGGATCGCGTTTGGGTAATTCTCTTTTATTAAGGTTTATTGAGAAGGAGTCCGAAAATCTACAAAATATATACGAAAATGAAATAATAATTGAAGACAATGAAACAGAAGAAACACCAGCAAAAAAAATAAAACAAGACTTTATAGGCGATTGGATGGCATCTGATGTTTTAGATATAAAAGATCCAGAAGAGTTAGAAGTATATGGAAGCGAAACACATACTTCCATTCAAATCACATCATACATATTTGAGGTACACAAACATAAAAATATATAGAAATAAAAAATATTGAAGAAACTTTTTATATTATTCAATAAATCGGATAGGTATGTGATAGTTTATTAAATATTGGACCATGTGGCAATATATCTATGGGTGAACCAGCTTTTCTATCAGAAGAATTTTCACACAGTCAAGATCCTGATGTTGAACTTGTGACAACTTCTGGCTATGGTAAAAACGGTGCTCTGTGTGTGCTTCAACGTTCTATACGACCTCAGGTGATTGTGTCATTAAAACTTTTGAAGTTAATTAAATTACACATCATTTGTTCATTAATTTAATAAAAATATTTAATTATAAAATAGGTAGTAACTACGTTTGAATTACCAGGGTGTGAAGATATGTGGACAGTCATTGGTATGTTAAATAATGATGAACAAGTAAGACCTGAAGCAGAAGGTTCGCATGCTTTCTTAATTTTAAGTCAAGAAGATTCAACAATGGTATTAAAATTAATATATTTTTACTATTCTTTCACATTATTAAGTATAAATACAGTAATTTTGATATATGCGAACTATGAAGATATAGACGAACTATAAAGATCTATCTCCGAATATTGCAACATAATTCGATGTATCAGTAAAATAATAATAATTCAGAGACAACATTTTTTCAAACTTTTATGAAACTTTTTCACATATATCAAGACATTATTGTACGGATAATAAAATGCTATTTTCAGATACTACAAACTGGTCAAGAAATTAATGAAGTAGATCAAAGTGGATTCAGTACACAAGGAAGTACAGTATTTGCTGGCAATCTTGGTGCAAATAGATATATAGTCCAAGTTACTCAAATGGGTGTACGACTTTTACAAGGAATTGAACAGGTTCATATAATATTGATAAAATGAACAAGTATTTGCATGTATACTTATAGTACATGTTAAATATAACCATACATATCATAATTATAGATCCAACACATGCCTATAGATCTTGGGTGTCCAATTGTACATGCAAGTTGTGCAGATCCTTATGTAACGTTACTGTCTGAAGATGGACAAGTTATGTTATTGACACTCAGAGAAGGGCGAGGAACTGCGAAATTACACGCTCAAGCAGCTAATCTTTTATTTGTATGTTAATAATACTGCCAGAAATATTGTATTCTATACAATGATTGTTATACAGAATTTACATTTTGTATATTTTTTTTATAATTTATATTTTAGCGTCCTCAAATAGAAGCACTATGTGCTTACAGAGATGTCAGTGGAATATTCACAACACAATTACCTGAAAATGTAGAAGACGAAGTACCTGAAGAGGAGCATAATATAGAAGAACCACCCATAGTTGGAAATATTGACAATGAAGATGATTTACTTTATGGTGATGCACCAGCTTTTCAAATGCCTGTACCAGCCCAAACTAAAGTAACTGATGGATCATCAAAAAAAGCTCCTTGGTAATTTTTTTCATAATTCTTTTAGTTTTTTATTCTATCTTTAATAGAAACACTAAATTTCATTGAATATTATTCTTGTTATATAAAGTATTAATAAGATTTTGTTTAAAGGTGGCAGAAGCATTTACAGGAAATAAAACCAACGTATTGGTTATTAGTATATAGAGACAGTGGAACACTAGAGATTTATTCTCTTCCTGATTTACGGTTGTCCTATCTCATTCGTAATTTTGGATATGGACAATATGTATTGCACGACAGTATGGAGTCTACAACACTACAAACAGCTCCCATTAATGAAATTCCCAATCCTGAAATGCAGGTATTATAATTTGAATAAATCGTTAAAATATAAAATAAATACATTTACGAAAATATGTTGTATTGTAGGTGCGAGAAATTTTAATGGTGGCATTGGGTCATCACGGAAATAGACCTATGCTTTTAGTAAGACTAGACTCAGAACTTCAAGTGTATCAAGCATATAGGTATCCAAAGGGACACTTAAAATTAAGATTTAAGAAACTGGATCATGGTATATTATCAGGGCACATAAGGTAAAAATAATCTATTTTCTAGAAACTTTTCAACTTTTTGTTGAAATTATTTATTAAAAATTTTAAATATTGTATTCTTTAGGCCGTCACCAAAAGATGAAGAAATGCCTATGATGAATGAGACTCGACATTGTATGATGCGTTATTTCAGTAATATTGCTGGATATAATGGTGTATTTATTTGTAGTGAATATCCACATTGGATATTTCTCACAGGACGTGGTGAATTGCGTAATCACCCAATGGGTATCGATGGTCCTATCACCTCATTCGCACCGTTCAATAATGTGAATTGTCCGCAAGGTTTTCTTTATTTCAATAGAAAGGTATATAATCATTTTTATTTATTATTGTCGATACTGATATAAACATTTCATTTATGTGTGTGTGTTCTATATTATTCAATTATATTTACATTGCTCGATTTATAGGAAGAGCTAAGGATATGTGTGTTGCCAACTCATTTATCATATGACGCTCCATGGCCAGTTCGAAAAGTACCATTGCGATGTACACCACATTTTGTTACATATCATCTTGAGAGTAAAACGTACTGTGTCATAACGAGTATAGCTGAACCATTAAAAAGCTACTATAGATTTAATGGGGAAGATAAGGTTCGAACACAACCATCATTACATATTTTTAAAAAGTAGTCCTATTTCTCTACTATTTTATTCTTGTTTCTTAAGGAGTTTACTGAAGAAGATAGATCGGAAAGATTTATTTACCCTTCACAAGAACAATTTTCGATAGTATTATTCTCGCCTGTTTCGTGGGAAACTATTCCCAATACCAAGATTGAATTAGATCAATGGGAACATGTCACTTGTCTAAAGAATGTTTCTTTGGCATATGAAGGTACTCGATCTGGCTTAAAAGGTTATATAGTATTGGGAACAAATTATAACTATGGTGAAGATATTACAAGCAGAGGAAGGGTAAAGTCATCATTAAAATGCTTACTTGATGGTACCAAATTATGATTATAATTTGTAATATTTTGTACAGATACTCATATTTGATATAATCGAAGTTGTTCCCGAACCGGGTCAACCATTGACAAAAAATCGATTTAAACAAATCTATGCAAAAGAACAGAAAGGTCCAATAACTGCCATCACTCAAGTCTCAGGATTTCTAGTCTCAGCAGTTGGACAAAAAATATATATCTGGCAGCTAAAAGACAATGACCTCGTTGGAGTTGCATTTATAGATACACAAATCTACATTCACCAAATGTTAAGCATTAAAAGTCTAATTTTAATAGCCGATGTATATAAGTCAATTAGTTTATTAAGATTTCAAGAAGAATATAGAACATTATCTCTTGTTAGTAGAGTAAGTTGAAATTTATTTATGTTTAAATAAAATTTTATTTTACTCTCGAGAAATTACTAATAATATATATTATTTAAGGATTTTAGGCCAGCAGAAGTATACACCATTGAATATTTAATTGATAACAATAACTTAGGATTTGTTGTGGCAGATGGTGAAAGCAATATAGCTTTATTCATGTATCAGCCAGAATCAAGAGAAAGCTTGGGTGGTCAAAAATTAATTAGAAAAGCTGATTTTCACTTAGGTCAAAAAGTAAATACATTCTTTCGAATCAAATGTAGAGTTGCAGATCTTGCAAATGACAAGAAACAGTTTTCTGGTGCAGAGAAAAGACATGTTACTATGTATGGTATGTAGAAATAAGAAAATCTAGAAAAGTAAACATGAAACTATTATACTATGCATCTTTATTTCATTGCAGCATCTCTTGATGGAAGTCTTGGTTATATTTTACCTGTGCCAGAAAAAACGTATCGAAGGTTACTTATGTTACAAAATGTTTTGGTATCGCATATTTGCCATATTGCCGGTTTAAATCCGAAAGCATATCGGTAATTTTTTAATTAGAGATGACTTTATAGTAATAGTAGAAATTTATTGTAGTTATAAATAATTGCTTTTCATTTTTTCAGTACTTACAAAAGTTTTATTCGTACTCAAGGAAATCCTGCAAGGGGTATTATTGATGGAGATTTAGTTTGGCGCTATCTCTTCTTACCAAACAATGAAAAAATAGATGTAGCAAAAAAGATAGGTACGCGCGTACAAGAAATAATCGAAGATCTTACAGAAATAGATCGACAAACAGCACATTTTTAAGATATGGCCTTTTTAAATTTTATATTAAAGGCGTTTTTTTTAATATTTTCACATGTTTAATAAATCATATTTCATATAGAGAATACTTTTTACATCCGTATCTTTCCGATTGAATTTAAATTAAATTATGACAATAATTCTCAAGTGTGAATATAAACCAATCTGAACAATGTAAATATATACACGTTAATTCGAATGTGAATTTCGTACAAAACAAAAACTATTACCTAGTTCAGAAAATCTTAAATTCAAAAGTTATTTTCTGTCATGATTATGGATACATGCTTAAATTACATCATCAAATTGGTTGAGTAAATATAGATTAATATTGATTTCATAATATAATAATGGAACCATCAACAAGGCAAGAATCTGTTGTATCAGTAGCCGACGATCAGATTCGAGCGGCTTCGAGACGATCAACGAGACTACGTCGTATGTATTAATAAATTACATACATGTATAATACATTACTAATTATGCAAACTACACCTTAAATACATAGTTATGTTATTGTAAAAAAGGAAATAAATTTTATACGTACATAGCTAAATATACATTTTTAATTCATAAGAATATTGATCAAACAATCACTAACTACACATCGTCGTGTAACATGGGTATAATATAATTTAAAAGTTCATCACATATGTATGTAAAAAAAACTCAATCAGTAAGTAAAATATTTACTCATGTGTAAACATATCTAATATGATTTAGTTAGAGCACAATAATTATATATAAATTTTTATAGAAAATATCTATCTTACGATGCAATAGATACATAGCAAACGTTAAGATTTTACTTTAGTATTTTAAATTTATAAACTCATGTATATTTAAGATTTTTATATGCAGTGTCCACAGTAGAACAAACATTATTAGAAAAAAGACTTTACGAAGCATTTGATGTGTTTGATACTTCAAAAACTGGTGAAATAGATGTCAGAGATTTAGGAACCATTATTAGAGCATTGGGATGTGTTATCACTGAAGCCGAATTACAAGAGATACAAGTTGAAGTAGAAGATGTAGAAAATAATTCTGTGTCAATAAACAGATTTGTAGAGTACATGAACAAAGCTATTACCGAACGCAAGTTAGTCACATATCAATGTTATGTTCATTCTGTTTACATTTATGCCTCGCTTAAATCTGAATTTAAACTATATATTTAGATTTAAACCAGCTGAACCAGAGGACTTGTTAAAAGCTTTTCAATTGTTAGATCCTGAAAATCGTGGCTACATAATGCGCGATGTTTTAGCAAAAGCAATAATGGAAATTGGCGAACCATTTTCAGAACAGGAAATAGCTGATATGATGGTTATTGCATGTGATCCAGAAACGAAAAGAATTAACTACGAACATTATATTAATTTATTAATTGTACGTATGACACACATATACTTTGAAAGTGCAGCAATTTTTATTAAAATTCTCATAAGTGAGATACAAAGAAATTTTTAAATACTATTTATAGATAAAAATACCTGTTGAAAAGAATGTATATTCGATTGTTGATAAAATGGATGCAGATAAATTAGCAGCTGCACCTAAGAAACGTAGATTAGAAGACCTTCTTATCAGCTATAAAGTAACTTAATTTCAATAAAATTCCTTAAATAGAGATTTTCATGTGTCAATTATAAGAGTAGATGATTTTTGTTGTATTTCTTTATTTACTTTTTAGACAGTTCACGCTTATTTGCGTGACATGTCATAATTATACAAATGCAAAAAATGAATAATTTTCTAAAAATTAGATGCTTTCCATTTAAGTTATTATTCATTCGCCAAAAGAACATGATGAATTGAATACGTATAAAAAACCTTTCATCAGAAAAATTGATTTTGTTGTTGATAACATTTTAAAAATGAAAAATATTACATAATAAAATTGTTAGTATAGTAACTGAACAGAGTTAAGTTTTTAATTATTCGTTACACAAGTTTAGAAAACGAACTTTCGAGAAAAACGTGTTTAGAGTTTTTAAGATTGATGTTTTGAATTGTAGCGCTTCGCACTAAACGGTACGAATTTGACAAAAAGATTTCGGTAGCACAGTTTGTAAATGTTTTACTTTTGATGTATACAAAAAACGATTTTTTAAACATATATACGAAAATCAAATTAAATAAAATGGAAATAAAATTTACTAGTATTAAAGTGCATATAAAATATATTTGAAATATTTATCACATTTTCTTAGATATGAAATGTACAGATATATTCATATAAAAATATTCAATTCAAAGTTTTATCGAATTACATATCATCATTATCTTGATATATGCGTATAAAAGTCAAACAAATATTACAGTTTTGAAAAAACAGGTGATTCTGATTTCATGGCTTGTGCCATTGCTGCATTGGCAAAGTCTTCACTTTGAAGCATAGCTTGATTATATAGTACCTATAAAATTAATTAAGGAATAATTTACATTTATGGTTACAATAATTGTGTTATTTTAGGTGGAATAATATAAAAGCTTACAATATGATCTAAACCCTCTTGAACAGAGTGATCTCTTGAATAAACCAAACTTAACTTGGAACCTTGCACTGCAACTGGACTTTTTCTTGCTATCTCACTTGCAAGTTTCATTGATCCCTTTAGTAAGCTGAAAACAATATTAAATATAATTCCTTAAATTGTTTGTAGAATTTACATGATCAGGAAGAATTCGTTTTCTAGTCAGTATACTGACACTAATAAATAGGTAATTACACTGAAAGATGATAAAATATTTTTTTGAAAAATGAGCAATAATTATATTCGATATATTTTAGTTGAATGAAGTGAAATTTGTTTTTAATTTTCAAAACATGAGAGAAAACTTTCTGGTCGATATTACAAATTATTTATGTTATAAACAGAATTTACCTTTCTGGAGTTTCAAATAAACAACTAACGAAACCATGTTGTAAGGCCTCTGAAGCTGTAAATTTCCTTGCAGTATATACAAGTTCTCTAACCAAGCTATCAGAGCCTATAATTTTGGGAAATCTTTGCAATGTTCCCACATCAGCAGCCATACCTATGTCAACTTCCTTTATTTGAAACCATGCACCTGAAGAGCAGTAGCGAATATCAGCTGCTGATACCATGTCTATACCAGCACCAATACATGGGCCATTTATAGCTGCAATTACAGGTTTTGGACACTAGAAAGTCATATAAACAAGATTATGAAAATATAGATTAAAAATCAATGTTTAACAAAAGTAAACAGGGACCACGTCTGTACACTGTACGGACTCTCGAGCCGTTCCCAATGATTGCCGAGTGGCCACGATATACTGCGTTATTTCTTTTTGTTTCGATCCTGTGTTCATAAATCGTATCTTTTAGCAGAGATCAAGTCTTTCGAATTTTTAACTTTGACTTGTGGAAATTTTTGGTTTATACTGGCACTAATTCACCATTGAATTCATCGTCTCTAATTATGCCAAATACAAATAAAACTATTACTAAACCACTTCTCCATCAAGGATACAATATATCTGGATACATAATTTTTACATAAAATACCGTCGACCGCACGGTAAGAAACCAAGAAATGCATGTCGTCCTTGAAGGGTTAAAGATATACTACCTTTTCTATTGCACTAAAACTATCTTGATAGTCTTTTATTTTTAGCTGCATTATTTTGCACTTTCGTGCAATGTCTTCTTGTTCTGCTAGTTTTGGTGCAAGGTTTACCATATCTTGAAGATCAATTCCTATAAAATTAAACCTTTAAATGATTTGAAGTTATTATTAAAACATAATTGTATAGCTGAATAATTGTTGTACCTGCAGTGAAGATTTTATCATCACCCGAAAGTACAATAACTCTGCATTCTGGATCTACTGCTAACTCATTGAAACATGTTTTGAATTCTCTACAAAATCATTAAATCAAAAATAATTTTAAATACACTATTAATTAAAATGTTAATACATACTTCCACATAGCTTCATTCATAGAATTAAGTTTTTTAGGTCTATTTAATTGCACCATGTAAATAAATTCCTGTGGCACTGATATCTTCAATGTTTTAAATTTTTCAAAACTGTGTCCACTACTGTACTTCATTTTGTAACAATGTTGTACTCCTAAAATAAAATAATTTTCATTGATCACCATATACATATATATATATATATATATATATGGTAATATATATAATATAGATATAAAGCTACCAAAAATATTATAACTTTATACAACTAATTTGGAAATCACTTTCTAATTAAATAAATTGACGGATTATTAGAAGTTCAAACTTCAAAAAGAAGTTCAAAGTTCAACTTAGAAGTTCAAAAATTACTGACCTGATTTTACAGCATTTGCAAACAGATGACGTTTAAGTATGTGCAAAAACATTTTAAAAAAACTATCCCTGAAGCTTTGGAACTAATGATTAATGAATATATCTAATCATATGAATTTTCTTACAATATATACATCAAAATTAACAATACTGTGTACATATATAGAGCATATACATATTATATTTTGTTAAAATTAATTGTTCTTTACTTTAGGCGACTTCAAGAGGATTATAGACTGAGTCAGCAGTTTTAATTTCACTCATTTAATTTTACAATAAAAATTTATACATTTAATAACAATTATTTTACAATAAATATCCAATATTTTAGTAAATCAATCCAGGGATATTATTTATATTTTAGCACAGACGAGGTATATACATAATATAATATATAAATCACATATTTATTTTATATGAAACAATNCCTGAAGAGCAGTAGCGAATATCAGCTGCTGATACCATGTCTATACCAGCACCAATACATGGGCCATTTATAGCTGCAATTACAGGTTTTGGACACTAGAAAGTCATATAAACAAGATTATGAAAATATAGATTAAAAATCAATGTTTAACAAAAGTAAACAGGGACCACGTCTGTACACTGTACGGACTCTCGAGCCGTTCCCAATGATTGCCGAGTGGCCACGATATACTGCGTTATTTCTTTTTGTTTCGATCCTGTGTTCATAAATCGTATCTTTTAGCAGAGATCAAGTCTTTCGAATTTTTAACTTTGACTTGTGGAAATTTTTGGTTTATACTGGCACTAATTCACCATTGAATTCATCGTCTCTAATTATGCCAAATACAAATAAAACTATTACTAAACCACTTCTCCATCAAGGATACAATATATCTGGATACATAATTTTTACATAAAATACCGTCGACCGCACGGTAAGAAACCAAGAAATGCATGTCGTCCTTGAAGGGTTAAAGATATACTACCTTTTCTATTGCACTAAAACTATCTTGATAGTCTTTTATTTTTAGCTGCATTATTTTGCACTTTCGTGCAATGTCTTCTTGTTCTGCTAGTTTTGGTGCAAGGTTTACCATATCTTGAAGATCAATTCCTATAAAATTAAACCTTTAAATGATTTGAAGTTATTATTAAAACATAATTGTATAGCTGAATAATTGTTGTACCTGCAGTGAAGATTTTATCATCACCCGAAAGTACAATAACTCTGCATTCTGGATCTACTGCTAACTCATTGAAACATGTTTTGAATTCTCTACAAAATCATTAAATCAAAAATAATTTTAAATACACTATTAATTAAAATGTTAATACATACTTCCACATAGCTTCATTCATAGAATTAAGTTTTTTAGGTCTATTTAATTGCACCATGTAAATAAATTCCTGTGGCACTGATATCTTCAATGTTTTAAATTTTTCAAAACTGTGTCCACTACTGTACTTCATTTTGTAACAATGTTGTACTCCTAAAATAAAATAATTTTCATTGATCACCATATACATATATATATATATATATATATATGGTAATATATATAATATAGATATAAAGCTACCAAAAATATGATAACTTTATACAACTAATTTGGAAATCAATTTCTAATTAAATAAATTGACGGATTATTAGAAGTTCAAACTTCAAAAAGAAGTTCAAAGTTCAACTTAGAAGTTCAAAAATTACTGACCTGATTTTACAGCATTTGCAAACAGATGACGTTTAAGTATGTGCAAAAACATTTTAAAAAAACTATCCCTGAAGCTTTGGAACTAATGATTAATGAATATATCTAATCATATGAATTTTCTTACAATATATACATCAAAATTAACAATACTGTGTACATATATAGAGCATATACATATTATATTTTGTTAAAATTAATTGTTCTTTACTTTAGGCGACTTCAAGAGGATTATAGACTGAGTCAGCAGTTTTAATTTCACTCATTTAATTTTACAATAAAAATTTATACATTTAATAACAATTATTTTACAATAAATATCCAATATTTTAGTAAATCAATCCAGGGATATTATTTATATTTTAGCACAGACGAGGTATATACATAATATAATATATAAATCACATATTTATTTTATATGAAACAATAGGGATGCCCGGTTCGAATCTAAGTGAATCCACGCAAGTAATAATTATGCATGTGTAAGTACTCGATACTTCAGATTCTCGATACCGAGTTAATACAACATATGTATATGTACATACAGTGAGATACTCTCTTACCTTCTCTTGCAAACCTTTCTGGCTGCGGTTTGCTCCGTTAGCGAGAATATAAGTACAATAGCTTTATTCTGATTGGCTGACGATTCAATGCCAAGATAGAATTTAGATAAAATTTATTGGTTGCACAATAATATGGTGGGAATCAAGCGCTAGCTTAGGGAGGAAGAAAAATCTTGCAAGAGTTGAGGTATTATTGTATTTTTTGTCACTAACCGTGATTTATCACTGCGATCACAAAATCACGATCACAGTCGTGATTTAACTTCATTCACAATCGTGATTGTGATTTAATAATTTTGGGACACCCTGCATATTAAATACAGTAATACTTTAGGTTTTGCACAATTTTTCTATCTCCCTTAGCTTTTAAAAGCATCCCTACTATTTTACTACGCATCCAATTCGCGATGAATCCTTAGCATTGAATCGCCAACAAATCAGAGTGAAGCAATTTCTACTCCTATTCTTGCTAATGGAGCACGCGCTACGGCCGAAGAGTCTTGCAAAACTTGAAATATTATTAGTAGAAACCATTTAAGCTCTTCGAAGGTTTGAATAAGTTTGTTAGCTTGAGTACCCAACTCTTGATAATGCTTGTAATGATTATAGCATAATAATAATCAGAGATTCTACTGCAACTTGTGAACGCACGCAGATTTAAAATTACTTTTTAAAAACGTTAGAGTCCACTCTGTGTATTGAGTATATATATTGAGGACAACCACTTTGCACTAACTTCACGTATTCTCGTCAATTCTCGTGTTCTGTAATAAGATCGAGTGATCGAGTAGCAAGGTGCTGCGGAGAGCAAAATGTTGTCACGATTAGCTTTTCAAAATGGTAAGTTAATTTGATAGTTTAAAACGTTAATAACATGAAATTTATTATTGACAAAATGCGTATGCTAATAGCAGTAGTAGTTTCAGAGATATATTATAACTGTCATTGTCAAATTTATATCGGTTACTTTACTTCCATTATGTAATAATATGATATTATTTTTGTGATATTTTATTTTTAAAATGTAACTACACAATTATGTATCGTGATACTTTAATGTCTGTAATTTGTTTTACTTAAATATATTAAAAAGTTTGGATATTATTAAATATAATATTTTTTTGTGTACTACATAATACGNNNNTACTACATAATACGTTCTACACTCATTTTAAATAATTTGTGTTAATATTTTAATATATTTTTAAGGTCGAGCACTTTCTGTGGCTGTTCGAGGAATTCAAACTTCAGCACCAGCATTATGTGACATACCACGTCAAAAACGTCCTATAAATCCATCACCAGTTAAATATGGATTTATTCCAGAAGAATGGTTCACATTCTTCCACAGTAAAACTGGTATATCAGGTAATTTAATGTTTTTCTGCTTAAGCTCTCATTGAATAAACTTTCTAAATTTCTGTAACTAGAAAAATAATAAAATCTATTTAACATAGCAATATTTAGTTTCTAACAATTAATATGTGAATTCTTAAATAATAATTTTTAATTTTTATGTAGGTCCATATGTATTCCTTGGTACTGTTGGAACATATTTGGTATCCAAAGAATTATATGTTCTGGAACACGAATATTACAATTCACTTTCTCTATTTATGATTCTTATTTATGGTATTAAAAAATATGGCCCAAACGTAGCTGAATTTCTTGATAAAGAATGTGAAGACTATCTTAATATGTTTAAAAAAGGAAGGCAAGATGAGATTCAAAATTTTCGTGATCAAATCAAATTATATGAAGAAACGAAATATAGGTCAAAAGTAATTCCTTTACTTAACGATGTTAAAAGACAGAATATTGCAATGCAATTGGAAGCTGTTTATAGGGAGCGATTGATGGAATTTTACACAGAGGTAAAAGATTTGTTTACTTTATAAGAGATTATTAAGAGAATATAAAATTATGAAGATGTATCAGGCATACTTCAATTTTGTGTCGATAAATGTATCATATTTATAATGTTCTTCTTAATTATAGGTTAAGAAACGCCTTGATTATCATGCTCAGATAGATACTGTGGAACGCAGAATTGCTCAGAAACATATGGTGCAGTGGATTATTAACAATGTGATGAAGTCTATTACTCCAGAACAAGAAAAAGCTAATTTACAGCAATGTATCAA